AAAACACAGTAAATATGATGAAAAATTTTCATTGAAAACTCAAAATAAAAAACACATGAGAAAGGTTGATTAAAAATAGAAGAAGAAATTATAGAAAATAAAGTGATCAAGAAACTTACTTGAATGACTAGTCATGGAAGATTCAGTGAAGATCTATTATTCAATGGAAGATCAGTGAAGATCTGTGAGGCTCTGTTTCACTACTCTAGAAAATCAGTGAAGATCTGTGAGGCTCTGTTTCACTACTCTGGAAGATCAGTGAAGATCGGGACCAAGATCAGTGAAGATTTGGAAGATTTGAGGAGAGGAGATGAGAAAAAGAGGAAGAAGAAAGATGAAGATTTGGTGAGGGCAATGAAGGGAGAGAGAGAGAGAGAGAGAGCTTGGTTTATAGATAAATAGATATATTTCGACTCAAACAGAAGGGCATATAGATAGATAGATAATGCACGGATTGTTCAGATGGATGGCTGAGCCGTTGGATCATATAATCCATAACGGTGCTATTTTGTGAAAAGGAATGCACATGGGTTTGAGCAACGGCTTCTTTTTCATCCTTTTTCAAACAACAGCTCTAAATTAACGGGTATTTTTTTTTTCAAAACGGTCATAGTTCTGTATTTCTATAAATAAAAACTCTACTCTCAATTCAAATTTCACACCAAAACATTTTAAATTTATTTTTCTTTTCTTTTCTCTTTATCTGAATTTTATTTCACACCAAACTTCACTAAACTTATTTTTCTTCTTTGTTTTTTCACACAATCACTATGAAGTGTTCATCAAAAATGAAGAGAGGAAAATTCATTTACCACTCAAGAAAGATATGGCAATTTGTAGATCTTGGTGTCACAATTATGAAGACCCAATTGTTGAAAATTCAACAATCTCATGCTCATTTTTTTGGGGAAGAATTTTTGATATTATTGTTCATGGCAGAATGATCGCTCAAGAAACACAAGTGTCTATCTCATCTGCGATGGGGTGTAATCATCGAAATGTTGTACATAATTTCGTGATGTCTAGCGCAGTCGAAAATCTACATCCAAGTGGGGTATCACAAGTTTGATATAGTAAGATTTCATTACATTTAATTATGTTAGTTTTTTTATTTGTCCTTACATAAAAATTAACTGATTAATTAATTTAATATTTTATTGATATAGATGCTTCAAGCAAAACTGTTATACCATCAAGATGAAAACAAGCATTTTCTTTTTGAACATTGTTGGCCAATCTTGCAAAACAATATCAGGTGCAAGATGTAACTCCTACGAACACGGTGAAGTCAAGAATACATACATCGTTTTCCCCTAATTCAACCTCTGATTCCCCTATGGATAACTGCATTTCTCTTGAAAGATGACACCAGTCCAAGTGTTGGTAACAATCCAACTGTCGATGAGGGCAGTGTCTCTGCAAGGGGTAAAAGGCCGATGGGTAGAAATCTGCAAAAGAATTATTTCGAAAAAAATCAAGTCGCTCAAGCTGAAGTTCAAAAAATGGGCACACAATTGGACAACATTTAAACCAATCCTTGCCGAGAAGGAAAAGAAAAAAGATGAAAAGAGAACAAAAAGGATTGAAGCACTGCAGGAGATGAAAGAACTTGAGATGAAAAAACATGAATTTGAGATCAGAAAACAAGAACATGAGTTGAAAAAGGAAGAACATATGATAATGACTACGGATATTTTCTCATTTGAACCATCAGATGAAAGCATATTACACAATGCGAAAAAAATGAGTTTTTGCCAAGTGGTCCTCAAATGTGAGCAGCCCAAATTTTTATTTCCCCTATCTCCTGATGAATAATTGTAGGATAAATGTTAGTCTTTATTTTTTGCAATATCATTTATTTTTTAATGTAAATTTTTAGTCCTTTTATTTGCATGTAAATTTTGTAATTGTTAGTCTTTATTTGCAATGTAATTTTTATTTTGTAATGAAATTTCATTTTTTTTTTTTTTGAGTATTTTGTACTTCACAATGTAATATTATTTTTTCAATGTATAATGTCCACTAATTTGTATTATAATTTAATATTTTCAATAAAGTATAATGCAAAAAAATAAATATATTTTTTCAAATGAAGGCAATAAAAAGATAAAATACTTTAGCTGATATTAAATGAAGATAATTTTATTATAATAAAAGACATTATAATATAAATATATAATTTTTTTCAATTTTTTCAATTTTTCATTTTTTTATATTTGTCTAGTTGGGAAAAATATAAATATATTATTTTTTTAACAAACAGGTAAAAAAATGTCACAAAAGATAAAAAATAAACAAAAATAAAATCACAAAAAACCTATATCCAAACAATACCTACAACCTTGGAGGGAAAGTTGGTTGAGATTTACCAAAAATAGCAAATGATCATTGGAGCACTATTGCTATAATTTGGCAAAATAACACTATTCATTGCCAAATTATAGCAATAGCAATAGCAAAATAGTAATAACCATTGGAGATGCTCTTAGGTTGCGTTTCATTAGAAATAAATAAATTATAGAAATAGATAAATGCTAGAAAATAAGTAAAAGAAAAGAAAAAATATAAATGAATTTGATGAATTTGAAAAGAATATATATTTTTTCTTTTATGAATTTGATTAGGATAAATATTTTACAAAAAAAATAAAAATTTCAATTACAAGTAATTATTTTTATAATAAACTTAAACTTTCTTGTGTTTTTTGTAAGAGATTAGAAGGTAAAATTATATTTTTATAACTTCCACTGCTTTCATAATAAACAAACTTAGAAAAATTTTGGTCATATTTGGTAGAATTTTAAAATTATGATTTGATAATAGAGTTGTATTTTGAATTTGTGAATTTTGAAATTATGATTAGAAAATAGAAAATTTGTCTGGTTATGAGTTTTAAATTTTTGATGTAACATATGAAATGAGAAAAGTTATTTGATTATGAGTTTTGAAAAGAGTTTTTAAAACTTCACTCATAACCAAACACACAACTCAAAATTCTATTGAAAATTCTATTCAATATTCATAACCGAATTCTTTTTAAAATTCAATTCAAAAAAATAATGTTATTTTGGTCTAAAAAAATAATGTGTATATTTGAAAAATATCAAAAATAAATATAATTTTTTTTCCCCAAATAACAGATAGCGATTGGCAATTGCAAAAAAATAAAAAAAAAAATTGTACTATTCTGGTCAACTGACCGGACGACCGAGTAGATCAAAAATTCAAAAATTGTCTGTTTCACCAAACTTGTTTTCAAAATGTATTTTGAAATTGATTTGAAATCATGATTTCAAAACTCAAAACTAAACATAGCATTCAAATATAAGAGTGAAATTAATTTTCAAAAGCTCTACCAAACACATTTATTTTATTTTGGGATCTTTTGGCAACAAGTTAAAAAAACTAGTTTTTTGACTTTTTAGTTTTTTTATACAAAAAAAACATCAAAAAGTTAAAAAGTCAACTTTTTACCAACTTTTCAAAACACTCCTTTTTTTCCATTTCCTTTACTTTCTACAATAATGATACATCCCTCTAAATCAATGAGGTCTAATGTGCCCTAATGACATGGAAAATAAAAAAAATAAAAAAAACAACACAAGACACAAACATCACTATCACAGTGGAATCCACACTCCATTAAAGCTATTAGAGCTCCAAAACATTTTTGTACTTTCTATCATTTTCACCATAACCAAATTGAACCTTAAGGAGGGAAAAATAGAACATTTTCTCTCCCAGCCATTTAGGCCTCGTTTGGGGAGTGGCTATTTTAGTCAAAAAGTCAAAAAATTACTAAAAGTTGTCACATCACCTCTCTACTTTTCTGCACATCTTTTTGTAAAAAATCAAAAAATTACTAAAATAGTCTGTTCTCAAACGAGACCTTAGAAAGATATGAAAGTGCATTTATCTCTATCAAAATAGTGTTCCGGGATATGAAGTGAGAGAATAGAAATGTCATGATTTGAGTTTTAAATAAGACGACTTTTCATTATATTCCATGCATATCCCAATTTCATTTATTTAATAGAGGAATTTTTGGATGCTAATAGGATAGATGTCACGTGGTACTTTTTTTTATTGTGATTGGATTTAACAGTAAAACATATTACATTTATATTGGGCGTTTGAGAAAAATAAAAAATATATATATTTGTGATTAATGAAAGGTACCACTATAACATACAAAAATTTCTCCATTTAATATTCCTTTAGTGTCATCGACATAACATAATCGTTTCTAGTTTATCTCTTTCTACAAAAAGTTTAAAAGCCATCATATGATAATCCACAAATTACAATAGAAAAGAAAAATGGAGGTTCAAGTTGATTTTCTTGACAGTTAGGACAGTTAACTCAATGATTCATGAAATTGTTATTTGGAATAGTGAGAATGCCAAATATTTAAAAATATCTCCGTAATTCATAATTTTTAATGCAACAAAAAAAATTATTTATAAACAAATTAACTTTTTTTTCACTTCATAAAA